TGTCTCCAAAGCAGCCGTACCTTGGAATCTCACTCAGCAGCTCTGCAGTAATAGAGAGAGAACATTGCTTACAGACACAATTTTTCAGCCTTACCACCTTCCGAAAAAAACCCTGTCTTGGAAGAAAGACCCTCTCCGAAACCGCCTTTCGTTGGAATCTTACTCAGCAGCTCTGCAGTAATTGAGGGAGCATTGCCCACAGACACAATTGTTGTTTTCGTTCGCACCTAGAGATTGGGTACTGTCTTTTGATCGATTCTGTCTGAAACACGTAGCTCAATGCGGTGTAGGAAATAGAAAATATAGTTTGACCTAATAGTCGGTGTAAATGGGATGTACCGAACAGAAAACTAAAATCTAGAAAAGAATAGTGATCATCCTGTTTGAACCCCCGTGTGATGCACGCGAATGCGTGCGCAGCCAAACTGGTAAGTAATAAAGTGTGTATAGTCCCAGTCTATTGTACTACACAGAAACATGGATACCACCGCAACACACACTCAAGGTTAGAGGTTTAGCTCCCTTCAATGTGACATGATAGAACATTAACACTCAGCTACAATCACATTTACCAATAGTTACTGCCGTCAATTGGGTGAAACTCGGGTTCGGGGTGCAATGGCGCGGCGCTCTGTTCGTCTGCTATTCTAATGCTTACCAGGAAAGGTCATTTGGTCAACCCGGCCATTTGAAATGAGATGTATATGTGTATACGCGCCTTGGGACGCTGAGCTCAAATATGTGTTCCTTATCTGCTGAACTCTTCTCTGAAAGGAATTATGAAGCAGAAAAGCGCAGGGGCTGTGGTCGAGGCTCACGAAAAAGAGGTCAGGGGATCAACTCCCTGGCGAGTTTGTTCTTTTGCCGTTTGCAGTAAGATAGCTAGGAAGACTCCTAACATCGCTAGTCCAACATGCTTGCGTATAGTTAACAGTACAAAGAATTTAAGGGCAATTAATAATGAACTTGGGCGGCATCGCTCCTCACTACTTTGGGCGCTTGTAGCGCAGGCGCCAGGCATTTTTGCTTCGAACAAGTATGATATTCGTAATCAGGGAGTCAGACTCTCCCTTTGAGCGAACTTCTAGCGAATTCTGAAATTTTGACCTAACCTCGAAAATTTGGGCAGTCACTCACCGATCCACCAATCCATTACAAAAGGCTGGCACTTGGGTAGAATAAACCTTTCAACACTTTTCATAATAGACAAAAATTGTGTCTGGCTTGCCCGTCTGCATCATCCAAAGATCTGCAAAGCATTATTTCCTA